AAATAACGTTTTTCTTTGCTACTCCATATGGTTTTTATATTTCTGTTTTGCTTTAAGGATTTTCGTCTGTAATTGCTCCCTCCCCCGCCTTTCCCCTTTCTTATTAAAAAACTTTTTTTCATTTGTACATAATTTGTTCATTCTGATAGAATCAGTAGGAGTCTAGTAGTAGGTTACTTTGTTGTATATCACATTTTCTGTTACCCTTCCCCTCCCCCCCCGTTCTTTCTTCCTTTTCTCCCGTTAAGCCAAGATAATCAGGAATAAAAAATAATAATAATAATAAAATAAAATACAAGTAGAACAAACAAAATCGTTTTCTTTTTCTGATCCAATTTATATTGTGACTTGGGGTCCTATTTTCCCTCCTCCTGAACCATGACGGAAAACTTGACCTCTATGATGTCTTTAGCTGTAGTCTTGATTTAAGTGTTTTGGGGGAGGAGACAGGAGACTGCATCCTGTAGCATCGCACTGATTATACGTGGGGACATTGTAACAAAAATAAGATGTGATTTTAAATGAAATGCTTTAATATCCCACTATTCCCCTTGGCAGTTTTGCCGTCACCATGGCTATAAATAGTGTCCATGGTCCATGGCTTCTAGCATTTCTTATTTATAACGATAGCTTTTGTTTGTATTTGTTTCACTAAAAGGGAAGAGTTATTTAGAAATAAGAGTTATTTAGAAATATAAAAAGTCGCTGAAACATGAATTGCAACTTTCCAGCTCATAGATGCTTTGTTCCAAGGCCAGGATGTATATTCCAGTACACTGTTATCATTTTTGTTGAGTGACGGATTGCTTTGGCATCAGAGTGGGGAGGATCCGTGGACAGCACTGCCGTTTCCTTGCCTCAGAGCTCAGTTTTGAATGCTAGTCTTCAAAGCCATTTTTATTTCCAGTGTTCAGTTTTAATTAAAAACCACATTCACAATTCTATAATCCCATCTGCAGATCCAAAAGGGGAATTCATACAAGAGAAAATTAACTTATTATTATGAAAAGCACACTGCCTTTCCAATAGGTATAATAGAGTAACAGTTTCCCTCGGGCTCAGTGGTTCCTTATATAATAACTAAAATATTAGCAAATTTTAATTGATTTTCCTTACCTGCAAGTGGTAATCAAACTTATTTTTAAAACATACTTAATTTGATTTAGATGATAAGGGTATTTGCTCAGGAAAGAGACATGAGAGGCTGCTCCTTTCTACAGGCAAGTGTCAGAGATGGAAGTTGAGTGGTCTTGACTTTTAAATGTTGATTCAATTTATTTTTGTTTTATTAACAGTAGGAACTTCTGTCTTCAGGACTCTGTTTTAGGTAAATTTATGGCACACGATATCCTTCTTAAGTAACATTTCTTTTAACTCGTGTATCTTTATAAGAGTATTTCAGAAGAAATATCAACTATCCTTTGTTCTTTACAAAAGGTGCACAGTTCTTGTGCTGTTTGTCATTACCACTGTGCACAAGAGATGTGCTTGTTCTCGGGGATTTCCCCCTGAATTTTCCCATAAGATGTAGGCCTATCTTCCAGTAGCACCAGAGGGCAGATTGGGATAGCCCCGAGGTCCACTGCATCAAGTGTGAATCCTTTCAAAGAGCCCTGTTCCAAAGTACTTACTTGCTTTACATGACATAACTATTATGTGTCACTGCCTGTGGACCATATTTTTTTGAATCTTATTTCTTAAGGCTTTGTAGTGAGCTTGATGGGAAAATATCTTCATGGAAACAAGAAATATATGAATTAAATTAAGTTAAAAAAAAGCATGTGGCAAATTTAACTTGAGAATGAACATAAAAGCTGGCTAGCTGGCTAGCAGGGTACTCACTGCTCCACACAGAGAACAGGGCTCTGGCTGATCTTAGTAGTTAGTACAAAGGTATTGAATTGTTTCCAATATATTACCTTCTTGTGCCCCATTGTTACAGGATTTGTGTCCCCTTGGTGCCCGGGTTCTTGGTCACACCGCTTTGAAGAATGAAGAGGTAGACCAGACGAAGAGTGGTGGGCAGCAAAGCGAAGTTTATTGAGCAAGACTACAAAGCTCCCAGAGAGGGAGGGGGACCTGAGTGGGTTGCCCTCAGCATTTCTAAGTTTAGGGTTTTTTATGAACTCTTTTGCGGAACTTTCTTAAGCAATCAAGGTGTGCTGAGTTCAGTCAATCAGGGCTTTGGTCACATATCTGTCTACCTATTAGGTTAAAGTCCACATGCTGATGGTCTTTTTTTGCTGACATCTCGGGGCTTAGGTCTCAACTGCCTTTTGCCTGTGATATTGACAAATGCTTTTGTAGTTCATTTTCTTATTGTAGGATGTTTTGCAGAAGTCATTTCTGCAAAGGCTGCAAAGCAGAATGTCTGTGCAGTCCTGTCTAAGCTGCAAAACAAGATGTCAGTGCTGTTTTATTTTAGCTGTCCTGACTCCATATTTTCTTGTTGGGGACCCTGGCCCTGACTACCTAACTGTCCAACTAACTCCTAACACCATGACATGTATTACAGTAGTTGAAATACATTTCATGTTATGTTATATATGAATGTCATATGGTATGTATGATATGCATATACAAATATTCGCACAAAGGCAAATGTATTTTTCTAGATACATGAAATACATTTCGTGCTGTGTTATTTCATGATAATTTCAACTACCTATTATTTCCATCTTGTTCTCTTATTTGTTGGTGTTATACTGCTTTATTGTTTTCCTCATTTCCAGTTGTTAACTTCTTTCAATATTATCTTTGTCATCATGAAGTTTTATTTTGTTCTTATCTTTTGATCATTTGTACATGTCATCCACATTTCTTCTCTGGGTTCTCAGAGTACTTAGACACGATGAAACAACTTCTGTGTGTTTAGGTAAATACATAATCAAAATGCATGACTTTTTTTGATAATGTAAGTGTCCAGACGTGTATAATATTTATAACCAATTTATAAACCTCGATATGTAACTGATTTCATGATACATACATAAAAATTCTAAATCTGTTACAAAGATTAAGAGAATAAGCTCTGACAAATACATAGATTCCTTGTATCACTGTCTGTCACTCATCTGTCAAAGTCCACCTGGATGCATTTGCTGATTGGGTCATGTGATCCCAGGAGGCTGACGAACTTCATTGTTTAGGATGATTCTAGGAAGACTGTGACCCAATGAAAGCTTGGGGCCAACGGATCCAATCTACATAGTGTCTCTCCTTGTTTTTCTTTTTCTCTGTTTCTCATCCTCTCCATTTTATGCTTCTAGAAAGCATTTAATGTCTTATAATGAAAATACTTATGTACACAGATTCTAAAAAGACAAATGAAAGTTGAAAAACCTTGGAGGGCTGGTGGATATCATTAATCAAGGCTGCAGGGATGAGTTCAGCTCTAGGATGAGTGCTGTTCTTTTGCCACTGGTTCTCAAACTTTAGTGGCTTCCGAATTCCCTGGAGGGCTTGTTAAAGCAGATTGCTGGGCCCACCCCCAGGGCTTCTGATTCTGTAAAATGGGATGGGGCATGAGAACATGCATTTTTGACATGTTCACAGGTGAAACTGATGCTGCTGGAGGGGGACATCCCTTGAAGAAGCACTACTCTAGCGTCACTGTTTCAGGGTTTTCAGATGAAAAAACAGGCCCGAGAGGGGCAGAGGCTTGCCTGAGATGTAGTGGGTTGCATCTAGGCTAGAATTAGAACTGGGTCTTCTGGCTCTGACCCTATAATGTTCTCCTGGGGGCTGTTCTTTGATTGACCAGAGAAGGGGAAATCTCTTCCTGACCATTCGAAGGAAGTGTGGGAAGCCAGATTTGCCACCCTCCTGGAGTCCTGTCTGCGGGTCTCTGGCTGGCCTATCTCTTTTTTTGTATGTTCTATGGAGAGAGACGGCTTAGTGGTCTATATTGGTGCCTAATGTTACCCACGTATATACCAACCTCTTCATTTCCATATCCAATTTAATAATTATTCATGGAACATTTGTCTGTTGATTCATAATCATTTAGAGATTAATACTCATGTCATCATGTTTCAAACGTGGCCTATGAAACTCAGGTCTGTATTATGTCAATTAAAAACAAGTTAAAGACGGCCGGGCTACAAGAGTAACCAGGAGAAAAATAGAAATGGCTGAATTTTTACCTGGATCTGAAGGTTTTGCTTTTAGTTTGATGAAATTTCAGTGAACTGTTATCTCACTAAATGAGTTTTGTGCAGTATTCTCTAGCCTATGTTTTCATCTTAATATTGGCAAATTCAAAATAAAGTAAAAATGATTTCGATAGGTGACTAATGGCCTTTAAATGGAATTTTATGAAACTGCTTTCATAAGACTATGGATTGGTTGAATTTAGTTGGCTAAGAAGAGTAACAAGAGTTGTGTATTTATGGGTCCTGCTTATTGATTTAATTTCAGTGATTTTCTTATTGGGATGCAGATTGTCAAAATGGCATTGAGGTACCATAAATTCAAATAACTGTCACCTGATAATTACATACTAGAACTGGATGCAGAAAGAATTGCTTTGAATGATTGAGGGAATTAAAATAAGTAGCATTTCTCAAACCAAAGGGGAAGAAAGTTAGCCCACTTAGTGTTGGGCTCAATTTAATAAATCTTGACCCAAGAGCCTTCTATACCTAAGGGATACACTCGTCTAGGTTGGTTTTGGCATCCACATTGGGCCTCAAGGGCCAGTGTCTTTGAATTGTTACAAATTGCTATGAAAATGGATGCAGAACTTGTGTGCATATATACACACATAACAGTAACTATTTGCTAGAAAAACTGTGATGGAATGATGGAGGCAAAAACCAGAGTTGGACATTGGTGTTGTTCTTTTCAGTTTCATGGGAGCAAAGCCTCCAGGTCACAATGCACATGCCATGATGTAATCTGTCATCTTGGGGCCAGGGAGAAACACCAGTCTTTTCGCATTGTTGGAACGGGGTCTGGGCCACATTTTGGATCCTTCATGTTGCCTTCTCTCTTTTCAGCGTCTTGTGGAGGCTGCAGAAGAAGCACATCTGAAACATGAATTTGACGCAGACCTGCAGGTAACCGATTCTAGTCGGAGTTAAGTTTTTCGTGTGTTGGCTGCCAAACGAGAAACACTAAGTGTGCCAGAGACACCTGCTTTCAGGGGATGGGAGAGAAGGGCTCTCAGGAGGATGGTACAGAGTTGGAATAAATGTGCCTATTTCTTGACGGGGCAGGGTGGCGATCCCCAACCATTTTCTACCACAGCAGTTATAGTGAGCGATGACACACACTCACGCACATGCACAGAGCAGATTTTGATGAACTCCTCCCCAGTTCTGGAGGATGTAACCTCAGTCAACTAACAATGATCACCAGAACTCCTAATGGCATATTGATAAGATAGACAACAGAATATGTGTAAATACCACTTCCCTGGCTGGATTTTAGATGACTGAAAGCAAACTTGTGATGGATGTAGTCTTGCATTGACTGTTAATTGTATCTAAAAATTAAATCACTCACTGACATGGGATTTGAACATCTACTTAATAAACTTCTTGCCGTATATCTTATATCCAACTATGGAATACCTGTGTTTGGCCGAGAAGGATTTTGATGTTGCCGTGTATATAGAAAACATATTAAAAGGTAACAAGTGAATTGAATGATACCTGGAGGTTCCTTTGGGTCCCTCTTCCTCTCGAGGGAAATTTTATCTGTATTGTCATTTGGAGTTCTGTGGTGTTTCCTCACTGCTAGGTAAACAGAAGGAGTGAATCTTAATCCTTAAGTCTGTGCTTTGCTAGAATGTATCTCTTCTAGTGGCATGTGGTCACAATTAGGAAGTAGTGTTTATTTTGCTGTGTTTCATTTATTGGAAACAATAAAGGCAGACATGGATATGCAAGCACAAAAAAGGTGGTGATATGAAAATAGGCTTTGGTGTCTTCGTTCCATGGATGAACTTCTTCTCATCCCTCCCCATCTATATTTTTTTCCTTGTGGGTAAAAGAATGCACACTCAAATGGGGTAATTGAAGAAAGTTTAATAAAAGGAATATTTACAAAGGTATGGTTAGAGAAACCAACAAGTGATGGTGTTACCCCCAGGGCAAGCCACACTTCTGGCCTGAGAAGCGAGAGGAACGAGTGGTTTCTAGAACCCAGGCAGAGTAGCTATATGGAAAGGGTATTTGATAGAGATGTGCAGCCAATCATGGTGAGCTAGAAGGATGGAATTTAGGGGGATAATGTCCTGATAACAGTGTCTAGCCTTCTGATATCTTGCTGGGACCCACCATTGGCTGAAGCCAATTACTGGTGTGGTTGATGTAGTTCAGTCTTCTGAAATTGAGCTAGGTGCAAAAGGATGAATAATGGGTCTGGAGAGGAAAGAGAAACTGTCAAACCCACCATTTGGTGGTCATTTTCAGAAATGACACCAACATATGAAGCAAATAGAGCCAGGACTGTAGCCAAGCACAAGAGGTTCCGGGGGCAGGGTGGAGAAGTGCCGGGGACTATTGGTAACATCAGGAGTGGGGGGGAAGCCAGCCCAACTCTTTGAGCAAAGCTGCAAGAGAAGGAGCAGAGGAGTTAGCTGAATATAGCAAGAAGCACATTGCTTCCTCCAGCCACACCTACATGGTGGCTGTAGGAAGGTCCGGGGCTGTTTACTGGTCACATTTATCTTCAGTGTGCCTCCTCTTCAGAGGGTTTGGAATTCCTAGAGTGGGCCAGAGGGATTGAATGGAAGCATCAGGAAGCAACTTTGTAACTGTGAGGGTTGTAGGGACCTCTTGAATGTGTTGCCAAGAGAAACCATCTCCTTCTCCTGAGGAATATTCTGGTTGTAAATTACCAAAACTCAACTCAAATCAACTCAAATGAGATTATAATGCTGAATAAAATAAGAATCCATGGGTCCACTCTAATAAGATACAAATAAATAGACACAGATGATAGATAAATACATACATAAATAAGAAGGGAAAGTTCAGGTGGCTCAGTTGGTTAAGTGTCCGACACTTGATCTCAGCTCAGGTCTTGATCTCAGAGTTGTGAGTTCAAGCCCCGCATTGGGCTCCAAGCTGGGCATGGAGCCTACTTAAAAAAAAAAAAAATGACAAAGAAAAGGGAAAGCTCTTACAGTAGGATGCCAACTAATAAATATAGGAGAGATGGTGGAGACAGAAGGTTATAGTAATAATTCAGGCAAGATTCTTCAATGGATACTAAAACTAGTAGGAAAGAGTTTGATGAAGAACAGGACATTGATAGTTTCAAAGTATCTGCCCACAAATTTCTTATTAATTACAAAGGGGAATATAGCAACTTTACCATGGAAAAACCTGGCAGATACCACCTTAAACAGGTAATCAAAGTTAGTATCACCAGTGATGAGACAAAGTGATGTCAAGTGCCTCCAGATGTGTGTTGGGCTTTAGGACAGCATCCCTATGTAGAATTCTTGCCCAGAATGTGTAACCTGAATCTAATCATAATAAAACATCAGACAAATCTGGATTGAGGAATATTCTACACAAGTAACTGGCTGGACTCCTCTTCAAACCTTCCAAGGTCAAGAAAGACAAAGAAACATTGAGGACCTGCTCTAGACTAAAGGACACAAAAGACCCATGATGATGAAATGCAATGGATCCAGAACCAGAAGCAAAGATTTGAAAATGGACTCTGCATTAGATAATAATGATGTATCAATGTTGAATTTCCTGGTTTCCTTGTATTGTACTTATGGAAGAGAATGTCTTTGTTCTTGGATTTTTCTGTACCAAACATTTGCATCCACTGGTCCAACAGGAAGAAGTCAGTTTATAGGAGAGTGAAAAAGATGATTGGAAAATCTGGTGGTGGTTATAGCTTATATAGTCAATTTTATTCTGAGATCAGTTGTCTATAAAACATGAGTGGGCAAGGGAGGGAAGGATTTAATGACTTGAGGGGATTATTTATCCTTCAGCAGAGGACAAATGTGCTGTGGTTTAGTTCAACTCACCTAGAGCCACTCCTTTGTCCCTCGGAAGCTAGTGCTACGTTCAAGAATGCTCTGATTTCCTATTATTGAAGCTTTACAGTGGAATTCTGGTGTAGCACAGCTGATTCCCTTGTCAGATGTGGTGCTGTAGACATAAATGCACCATTAGCATCTCCCTCCAAAAGAGAGAGAGACAGAGACAGAGACTGAGAAAATGAGTCTTTGGATTGTTACAGTTTTTGTTCTCTTAGGAACAAAGAAGGGGAGCCCAGTTTTTCTTCCTCCAGTGATCTCTTTTATATAAATGCAAGAGAAATATCAGGGGCTGTAGTTGTGGTCTGAACTAGAGTAGAGGTTGAAATAATCTGTCAGTATTACAGAGTGTCATTTATTACCTGGACCTCAGACCTTGGTGAAATCTTCCCTGGGTCAGAGTAAACCGTGTGTGCTTTTGTGAGAACCTGTAAAAGAGAAGCCTTTGAGAAAATAGATGTGCATGGAAGAATGCGTGTCTCCTTCGATGAAGGTTTTGAAGCTGCGAAGCTTCAATGCTATTAAGTGCAAGTCTTAACAGCTTGGATGTCAGCCCCATTGCTATCACTGGGATAGCAGGTCTGCGCATGGGCTCTGGGTTTATTGCTACAACAGTCCATTAGAGCTGATCAATTGTTAATCTGGGTTCCACTGACCTCTTGGCAACCCCTGCCGGTGGATTGTTTTTATCAAAAAAATTTCAGACTACCATCTGCTCACAGTGAAATAATGCTGAGGACGTCCCGTGCTATTAGTTCAGAGGGAGCTGGGAGTCTGTTTTCCTACAGAAAAAAATAAAACAAAAAAAACAAAAACAGTGCTTTTGTAAAATTTCCTAAACTCTGTAGCTTCAAGTCTTAGACCCCTGCCCCAGAATAGAAAAGAAATGGCGGATCAGCCTCTTCTTTCCATTTAGATTGGAGTTTTTGCATCAGTGCTTTGAAAGTGAAGAATTTGCTTCTCATTGGTAGAATCATCAAGAGTTATCAGAAGAAAGTCATGCCTCCTTTATTGTCAGGATTTTATTTCTCATTTAAATTTTGTCTTACATTCTCTTTAGAGGTTGATGTTTTTCTCATGGGCTTATGGCCTTGACGTCAGCAGTCCCCTTTGTAAGGTCCTCTAACACGGTATTAGCTTATTCTTAACAAAAACTCTGTTGGGGCAACAGGCAAAATCCAGCCTTGGAAAGGTGTGTGAACATGTGTGCATGTGTGAACAACCCACAATGCAGCGTCTTCCATGGAAACCAGAACTGCCTGGTCATCTTTATTGACTGGAAAACCCTATTGTTGACACAGGGGTCAGCTCAGCCCTCTCTCTGGCTTGTCCCTCTCCATAGGTGGCCTGTGGGTTCTAGATGGGTCTTCTCTTGGTTTGTTCTTTACTTTCTGATATCTCTCCATTTGGGCAATTTATAGTTATAATTGATATGAACAGAGGCCTTGTTAAAATGGCATCTTTGCTTTTTTATTTTGTGCTTTGAATTAATACAGGTTTTTTTTTTTTTATGTAAAGCTCATATGAGATTGGTAATTATAATGAAAACAGTTGAAAAAAACCCCTGTGTCTTAATTATAACATGTGATTATTTTAGGGTTGCACCCTCATTCAACCCATTGTGAGGTGAGGATGGAGTGGTAGGAGTAGACCCTAGCCCTGATTATCCTATTCATTGATGAATCTCCAGAAAACTAAGTCTACACATGTAGCATAACTTAGAGAGAATGCTTTCCCTCCTCTTACTTACTCTTTCTTTTTGGGTTTTTCCATTGGCAGCGAAGAAGATGAAAAAAAAGTCCTTTTGACAGTTTACTAAAAACCTGCTTATCTTTGAACCGCAAACATATTTTCTTTGAAAGCTGTCTCCAATAAGTGCCAATTGCACAGAGCTGGTGCACAGCAGAAAAAAAAAATGTGGTTTTGAATTGTGTATCCTGCAGAAGCCTTTTCCATTGCAAAGTTTTCTATAATAATTTTTCTTTGTTATTTTTTAAGTACTAGGAAAATAAAAAGCCTGGTGACACGCAGAAGGATAACAAAAGT